AAGCAGTGGTATCAACGCAGAGTACTGCAAGGTCCTTTGTGAAGGACCACTCACTCACTCAGATAATCGCCGGGGGCAGGCGGTCCGCAAACTCGAGCTTTTCTGCAGGCGGTCAGTAGAATTTTGTGGCGTGGCCAAACCTTCAGCGGGCGGCAACTCCTTTACGGTCGCATATTCTGCCAGTGGGCAGCAATACAGCATTTTCTGCAAGCGCTCGGCAAGTAATTTTCTTCAGCGAGCGCTGGCCAATCTTTCAGCAAGCGCTCGGACTCTTTTTACGCAGTTTCGGGCATACGTCGCGCACAGGTAAGATTCTGTGTGGCATAGGTGTCACCGTTGGTTTAATTACTCAAGTTTGAGGTTCTTTTTCTCAGCGGAAAGTACCTGGGGGCTGCGCGGTCCTCCACAAAGGACCGTGCGGCCCCCAAAAATTTTGCATATTCTCGCGGAAAGTCCGCGAGAATGCGGCCACTGCGCCGCAGCTAATCTATAAGGAAACCGCCATTGTTCTCCAAGCATCGCTAAAATTCTTCCAAATATCTGCAAGCGGACCGCAAGAAATCAGCGAACTATTTTTCCGGTGCCCGCCCGCCCATAAATCGCATTGCCGCTTGCCCCCGGCGATTATCTGAGCAGATAATCGCGGGGGCAGGCGGTCCGCAAACTCACGTTTTCTTGCAGGCGGTCAGCAGAATTTTGGGGCATGGCCAAACCTTCAGCGGGCGGTACCTCTTTACTGTCGAATGTCCTGTTAGCGGGGCAGAATACAGGGTTTTCTGCGGGCGCTCGTCAAATAATCTCTTTCAGCGAACGCTGCTCAAGCTTTAAGCAGGCGCTCGGACTCTTTTTAAGCAGTTTCGGGCGTACGTCGAGCAAATGTGACACTCTATGCTGCAGAGGTGTCATCGATGGTTCAACTACTCAAGTTTGAGGTACTCTCTCTTAGCGAAAAGTACCTGGGGGCTACGCGGTTCTCCACAAAGGACCGTGTGGCCCTCGAAAATTTTGCATATTCTCGCGGAAAGTCCGCGATAATGCGGCCACTGCGCCGCAACTAGTCTATAGGAAAACCGCGATAGTTCTCCGAGCATTCGTCTGAAAACTGGGCAACATTCCTCCAAATTTCTGCAAGCGGGCCGCAAAAATCAACGAACTATTTTTCCGGTGCCCGCTTGCTAAAAATTCGCATGGCGCCTGTCCCCCGCGATCATCTGAGTATACTGTTGCTGTATTTTCTCTTTGAATAGAAATCGAGAAAACGAAAATTTCATGTTCTTGCCAATGTGATGCTGTGCTGCCCTACTTTAGTATTTCTATACTATAGAGCAGTACAAGCGCAGACACAAATTTTCAGCGCTCCACAGGCTTTGGTTCTCGAGAAACGTTGAATTTAGCTTCGCACAGTCGAGTGTCCCATATTAAAACGAAAAGCCTAAAGAGCGCTGAAAATTCACGTCTGTACTTGTGCCGGTCTGCAGTATGCAACTACTAGTGTGAGTATGTGGATAGCGTATCTGTGAGCAAGTTAGGAATTTTCTAGGATTTTTTAAACGGAGTTACAATTTTTTCTTTATTTTTCGGGCGATTGAACCTTTTTGGTTTTTGGCTTCAAACTCGAGATGGAGAGATGGATCTGAACTGGTACGAAAGTAAGAAAGTCATCTTGTAGAACTTGCCTTGCTCCATCGAATGTACCTTGAAACCTGTCTTGAACCAAGAAGTTTATGACTTATTGCGATTAAAAGTTTAAACGGACGGAACTTATGGGACAACCTGATTGTTGAAAGAAAGAGAATTTTTTTGAAAGTCAGAACAAAAGGCGCACTAAAAACGTGCTCTACGGCTGTGTCGGGGAACCTACGAAAGGCTGACCGGACACACACTATTACTAAACTGTTTATTTAGTTCAAAGAGTACATTCGAAACAAAGAAAGTGTGACAAAACCTCACATTATAACGATATCATTCATAGAGCATATTGAAGTAGCACTGAACCAAAGAAAGTAAAAAGAGGCTTGTTCCGCAAGGGCATCGTCCAGCCAGCGAAGTACAGTAGCCTAAAAATGAGAGTTGGGTTTAAAAGAACTTCCTTCTACGGAATATATTAGGTTGATTCATAATTAATGCACGTTTTTCGAAATTCATCTTCAAAGCGCCGTTCTTTTCCCTCATCATCTTTCAAAGAGCAACAAGAACTGTTGCAAAGAGCAAATCTTTGGCTTTACAACGCATACTTTTGTTCATAGATAAATGTGACGAGAAAGTTTGTACAATCCGAAAAATGCCAAGAGTTTCTTAAAACCCTCTTTTTTGAGAAAGTATAACTTGCTTTTAAAGGTAGGAGGAAAGCGCAAACTTTGCTCATTGCGTAGCCAATGGTCAAGAGAGCGGTGGCAAAAAACCCGGATTTTACGGTATTTTTCTACGACGAGATATTGCAAAAAGTTCAAAAGTGATCATTTGTTCTAGCTTTTTCAGAAGAGCGAAAAATTGTCTTTTTTGAGAATCAAAACTTTTGCCATTCGAAAGCAGTGAAATTTCACCGTTTTTCTACCACTCAATGTGCTATGTCTATTCTTTGTGTGTAAAGCAAAATTGCAGTCATTGGTTCTTATTTCAAAGTTTTCTACGACTTCGAAAAGCCACAATGACCTGCCAAGTTTGTGGTTGAGTCTCTCATCTCAGAACTTTTGCAAAATTCTGCTTCATAGAGATTTCTATAGCAGAAAGCTTCGCAATTTTTAGGCACACTATTTGAAATTAACATCTTTTGTTTTCATGGAATTAGAGCAAAAAGAATGGAGGGAAAAAATTTCAAGTTTTAGTCTCTCATATTCCGAAGGGTGAAATTCGGTATCATACAGAGTGTCACGAAAAAGAAAGGATACACAAGAAACTAGAAGAAACGCTTTTTCAGATAGCATTGAAATTTTGGGAAAGATTCAGTTTCCTTGAAAAACCAGCGCTTGGAAAAAGAGGTGACAAAAACGTGCATTAATTATGAATCAACCTAATATTTTAATCCCAGTCCGCAGACTAGTTTTGAGTTGGAAATTATATGAAAGAGCCCCGTTTCAACGAAATCGTACTCATCAGCATAGAAGAATAGGTTGAAAAAGAAAGGTAGATGAAAAAAAAACACATCGTTTAGCAGTGGTTCGCTCAATCTGGCATGGCCGAATAGCTTCATAACGGGAGATAATTCGGAAGAAACCCCTTTCGGCAATGAGTGGTTCACTATAATACAGTAGAATAATGACAGAACACAAGTCAGTCAGAAAACTTCTTCACGAAACGAAATCCTTTATTACAACATGGAAGAATGGTCGAAACGAAAAACCTGCAACGAAAGGTATGAAAATCCTAGAACGATCACTAGAGCAAAACCTTGTCCATATGCTCTCCATGGAGATGATCTGACACAGTTTGCCTTGGTTGCGGCAACCGCGCGGTCTGAAAGCTCCCTAATCAAAGTCTGATGCAGCAACTGTAAATAAAATAGAGCCATTGGCGATACCTAAGATTGCGCTGCAAATTCACAATCGCTGAAGCGAAGTTGATGTTAATTGCTTTCTCTTTCGAAATTATAGATCTCTTGCACAAAGAAGGGGAAGCACGTTTACGACCATTTAGCTCTCTTTATGCAGACACATGGTGTTCCGAATCCGTTCGAAGCATGTTGTGGTAGAAAAAGGAATGAAGCGAGGAATTTTTATTTGCATGTTTACAGTCTACTCGCACAAACACATAGGGTAACGTGATCGAAGGTGACAATGTCCGATATTCAAAAAATTGTGCTCTAGCTACACTTCCAGTTGAATATGCGGGGGAGCTACTCCACGCTGCAAAGGCAATGATATATTAGCGAAATAATAATAAATGAGAAATTGCAAGCAGTACAGTGGGCTTCTGATCTGGTGAGCTGTATAGACCTCTATCACTTGCTTTCACTGACTCAATAACTAGTGTTCCATCTTTCTTCACATGAGCCTTAGTGACAGGGTTGCTTGGTTTGTTGTCCTGAATGAAGTGCTTTGCTGGTTTCGATGCTAATGTTTAGCGCGCTGTGCGCTGTAAAATTTAAAAATTCTCCTGATGAGTGCCAAGGTCGGACTTCACCTTGGTAACAAACTGAGAACAGATTGGTTCTTTTGTTTTCGGGTCACAGTATTTTATAAACTCCTCTACGCCATTTCTGTTGCGTTTCCATTTCACAACTTTGCCCACTGAAAGCTCTACCGGCTTGCCAACCTGAGAGAAACAAATAGCAGGCAACATGTCGAATTTTAGACGAGCTTACCTCTGCCTTCATTCTCATTATAGCGCCGTAGCCGAAAGAGACAACAAGCAAAAGGAGACTGATTTTTACCCACATTCCTAAATCTAATGCTAACTACACACCCTTCACCAGGCACTTTTTGAACGGACCTCAGACATGCTGTATACTTTCTAAAAGCGGAAAACGAGGCGATTCTGACGGTGGGTAACTCGTTGCAGCATCAATAGATGCAGCGCAATTAGTAGCAACGAAACAGCAATAAAACAGTTATCTTAATTGCCTCTCGCAAACGGTGTGACAAAAGATTAGTAAGGTATTAGGCACGAGTGCAAATCACCTATTGTGAATCATCTGGCATACCCGGCTTCGCCGGGTCCTGTCAATACTCTGTAAAATCCACAATTCGAAATTTCCGTACAACATCTCCCTGTCCCTGTCTGTTGCCTTTGCTGCTCTCACCATGTTTTATCGTAAACGGCATGCTCACTCTCATATACTAACACCCATTCTACCCTCAGGCTAAACTTTGCCAATTGACAAACTGATAAAGGTAAAGAAATCTAAAAGTAACTATTGTATCTGTGATCAGCATTCTTACTTACCCCCTGTGTCAATCCCCAGCCCTGTGGCCAGAGTCGAGCATGGTGTTTGGCACGCCACCTGGGAGTCGTATTGAGGGGTCAGAGAGGGAAGAGGTCGTTATCGAGGTGATTATGTCAGCAGTAACATGGTATCTGTTAACGATGTCATATAAGCCCATATGACTTTCTTAACACGTATGAACATGATATGTGTTAACAAAGACAGATAAGCCGAAGCACATTGAGGTATTTGACTGATCATTTTGCGAAAAATAAGCACAAAGACGCCCTTTCAAGCATAAAATATAATTTCCATAATTAGCATGTCAAATAACTCCCATCAATTATGTTTGAAATTCTGAGGTTGCTAAACATTGTATTAAATCGTCTTCGTGACCAAGTGAATGATCACGAAAACGATTTACTTTGTTTTGAGCTTATAATCAAGCGATACTTTGTGTCCCTGGCCTTTTGAGATGAGATGTATACCATCACACTCGTCTTGAAATGCTGATTTCCAATCTGACGTATTTTTGCTATTCGTTTCCACGAGGAAAGTTGAAAAGGATTTGCGCGCCATTGGCCGCCCAAGGGAAATACGATCAGAACGTTAACACTGCAGCTATACGCTGTAACGTAGTGGTTGGTGTGTGGGTTCCACACTACTCTAACAATTGCTGGGTCAGTGCGAGGAAGCCAACTGCATTGACTTGTACTTCATCAGGTGCGCTCATTGCGAGCAACTCCTATATTCCAATCACTTCTCATAGATTTCCGCCGCTGTTTAAGATGCATTCATTTTTCAATCATTCTCACTTTTATAAGCATCTTTCAAAATAATAGGAAAAAATGACTCCTTGTTGAAATTCCACAGAGCAAAGGCATGCATATACCTTGAGGATGCCTGACTTGTAGAAAGAAGCTAAATGAGGCAATGCAAAACTGAAAACCAGAAAAAACCTACATCTGCATCTACTTGTTAGGCTGCTTTTTATCAACCACTATATCACAGCGCACCGGCTATACTGGCGTTCCGATCTTATTTTGGCGGTCGACAATGGCTCAAAAATCCTCCATAACTTCTTTTAGGAAGTTTTTAAGAACGATTAGCTGAAACGTAGGTAAGATTCGTAATCAACGTTTCAAAACGAGTGTAAAGGCGTACATCAAGCACGGACAGCTAATATCGTTCCCTCGTTAGCTACCCCTTCTCACTCAATGCAAATGCTGCTCCTTCGTTGCCCATATAAGAAATCTCACTTTAAATAAACGCCAAAATGAATCAAAGGTCAGTTAGAAACTCGTGTGTCAGAGTTTCGCTTTTAATCGTTGTGCTTTTAGCAATTATACACAGACCAAAGAAGACGATCTAGGCACCAATCACTCCTGCGAAGACCGCGAGATCTGGGCTATGATATAGTAGCTTCATCTCTGTCGCCACTTCTACTATCCCTATACCTTCCTCTTGATTACATGATGATGACTTCAAAATGCTGAACTTCACAAATGGATTGTAAACAATTGGTTTCTGAAGCTTCTCTATGTAGGATCGGTAACTATGCGAGGAGAAATTTTGTGAGGAAGAGCAAATACGAATTTGAATGAGTTACCAAATTTATCTTCGTTTGATAGTCACCATAAAGACAATATTTACCGCAGGCTCCATCTTTAAGCAAAAATCCTCAACTCCTCAGATAAAACCTTGGCAAATTGACGGTCTAGTCATTTCATTTTAGCACATTTGCAAAAAATTAGGCTGTTGGCACTTTCTGGGCTAAAGCCATGGCTTGCAAACTTACCCTCAGATAATCGCCGGCGGCGGCAAACTCGGGCTTTTCTGCAGGCGGTCAGCAGAATTTTGGGGCGTGGCCACTTCAGCGGGCGGCGACTCCTTTACGGTCGCACATTCTGCCAGGGGGCAGCAATACAGCATTTTCTGCAAGCGCTTGGCAAGTAATTTTCTTCAGCGAGCGCTGGCCAATCTTTCAGCAAGCGCTCGGACTCTTTTTACGCAGTTTCGGGCATACGTCGCGCACAGGTAAGACTCTGTGTGGCGGAGATGTCACCGTTGGTTGAATTACTCAAGTTTGAGGTTCTTTTTCTCAGCGGAAAGTACCTGGGGGCTGCGCGGTCCTCCACAAAGGACCGTGCGGCCCCCAAAAATTTTGCATATTCTCGCGGAAAGTCCGCGAGAATGCGGCCACTGCGCCGCAGCTAATCTATAAGGAAACCGCCATTGTTCTCCAAGCATTTGTCCAAAATTTCGCTAAAATTCTTCCAAATATCTGCAAGCGGACCGCAAGAAATCAGCGAACTATTTTTCCGGTGCCCGCCCGCCCATAAATCGCATGGCCGCTTGCCCCCGGCGATTATCTGAGCCTGTCAGGCAAAACCTTGACTTCGCAAAAAGTTCAATTAGCAATCTACTTTGCGTATCAATAGCCGCGTGAATCCGTTTGACGCGCAATTTTGGAAGGACTAGCATATCGGACAGGCTCATCTTTGTGCACTATGAAAATTTGGCTCAGGAGCTTTTCTGCATCCTGCTTCTCGTGACCGACAGACCCGCACACACACGTACAAAAAGAGACGGCCTTGGCGTCTATCGTAAGTCTAGATCTTCTTGCCGTCTTCCTTCGCAGTATACGTAGTAGCGCAGATCTAGACTACCGTTACCCACCTTTTGCCATGAATATAGATTAGGGAAACGGATATATCTTCTTCTAAGTGGATCGTCTTAAATTAAATCTCTACTGTGAACAGGAAAAGATTTAGATTTCAATGACATTAAAACATAGTTACAATACCACCCGTAGTTTGTGAAAAAAATTGGCGGCGGCACTTAACTCACGCGCCGCCGCCGCAGTTAGGTGGCAAACGCCGCGTCGCGCGGCAAAGTTAGGCGGAAAAGCGGCACTTGCCGTTTAACACGTTTCGGACCGGTGCTGCACATGGTGCAGCACGCTGCTTTGAAGAATCTTTTTGAAGTTTATAAGAGGTTTGCTTTTAGTCAAAGGTTATCAAGTCAAAGGCCTAACCTTCTACTTTTCAAATGACCTTGTAGAGTCGTGCCGCCAATATTTGTTCAGGAGATATGAACACAAATCGAACAACAGTTGCAACGAAGTGCGGCAAGGCGAACGACGCGTGCGACGTCGCAACTTTCTTTTGCTTCGATATCAAAAAGAAAAGCCGTACTTTCAATACTGATTTGTACCGTCTACAACATAGATACTTTTGGTCAGTGTTAGAAACTGAGTTCTTGTTTCTATCTTTCAGGAAAGCACAGAAGTCCTTCACAATCGACAAAATTCAAACACTTCAAATCCACTCAGAACTTTGGGTATGGAACTCATCTGACAAGTTGATTACAGATGTAACACACAGACTACGAAATAAGGTCCCTTTGTTGGCTAATGGCTGAAAGTGCACTCTTTTTCGCCGCGCGCGATTTCGCGGTCCGAAACGTGTTAACTTTGTCGCGCAACATCTAACCTTTTTATAAAAAAGACCTTATCTTGATTTGAAAATTATGAATTCTATATATAAGAGTACCATTCAACTCGGCGAGGCGCATCTTCCAGTGTACAGATGTGCCTAGTTGTGGGATATAAGTTTTTTTCCTGATATTTTAGGGTAAATGGATTATTCAGTGTGCTGATTCCAGAGGCTACATACACATTCTGTTAGGCACTGCGAAATAGGGCAGGTATAGTTTGAGAGCCCATTCTGCATGGATTTTGCACAGATTCTACTCGCCGTAACTTTCTTTGGAGTGGATATTTTCTGAATCCGAAAAATGCATTGTGCTCAGCTCATCAAGGTAAATCTTTCGGTTTGCAGAATGTCCTTGATATCTCGATTTCAGTATTCTCAAAACTTTCTGCGCCGTCTCTTCGCAAAGTGAAGCATCGCTTATTGCCCCCAGTAGATTCAGAAAGGAATTTTCGATAGTACCTCTTCTGTAGATTATGGGGCGCTAGAAATTAGCCGCAAACTTCTTTCCAAAGGAGTTAGAAGGGTTGGTGAATTCCGGAAAAATCATGTTGTTCTAAATTTTTTTCAACGTAACTCTAAATATGAAGCTCTCTTGCTAAGCAGATGTGGTTTTCGTAATCAGCAGGTCGGATAACCCTTATGAGCAAGCTTTCCGAGATGTTCGGGTTATTTCATTTTTTCTCGTTTTACGTTCTGGAAGCTCGCCAATGGATTTTGGTCAAGTTCATGCTCTTAAATTGCAAGGAAACTTTGCTTATAGAGGTTTTCGAACACGCTCTTTACGAAAATCAAGGTCTTTGAGGATTACAGGGTCGTTTTGGTGAGATACGCTGAGGTGACTGTAACTGCATCACTAAAGTGCGTAACTTTGCCCGCACTTCTCGCGTATCTGTCAGCAACCTTGCCTGCTTGCTTTTCTCAGTCAAAGTTAGTAGGGACTGTGCCATCGAATGGTGCATGCCTCAGACTCCACTCTACAGAAATTGCCGAGTTACGAGCCTACGAAAACACATTCTCATGGATTTTGCCCAAAATGTAAAGATCGCAAATCTCGTCGAAATTCCACCGTGAGCGCTTGTACAACACGCTGATCAAAATCTTTTCACGTCCTTAATGGATCTTATTGCGTTAGATTTCGTAGTTTGAGTTCTAGCCACCGAAATAGCTTTGATATTCAACTGAGCAGCTGAAGCATACGCGAGTACCATATTCAATACAGTGGGAGTCTTTGGGCGAAGCGAACACAATATCCGCAATGCGAGTGTCATACAAGCACTCACGTTGGAATTTCGACGAGATTTGCGATCTTTACATTTTGGGCAAAATCCATGAGAATGTGTTTTCGTAGGCTCGTAACACGGCGATTTCTGTAGAGTGGAGTCTGAGGCATGCACCATTCGATGGCACAGTCCCTACTAACTTTGACTGAGAAAAGCAAGCAGGCAAGGTTGCTGACAGATACGCGAGAAGTGCGGGCAAAGTTACGCACTTTAGTGATGCAGTTACAGACACCTCAGCGTATCTCACCAAAACGACCCTGTAATCCTCAAAGACCTTGATTTTCGTAAAGAGCGTGTTCGAAAACCTCTATAAGCAAAGTTTCCTTGCAATTTAAGAGCATGAACTTGACCAAAATCCATTGGCGAGCTTCCAGAACGTAAAACGAGAAAAAATGAAATAACCCGAACATCTCGGAAAGCTTGCTCATAAGGGTTATCCGACCTGCTGATTACGAAAACCACATCTGCTTAGCAAGAGAGCTTCATATTTAGAGTTACGTTGAAAAAAATTTAGAACAACATGATTTTTCCGGAATTCACCAACCCTTCTAACTCCTTTGGAAAGAAGTTTGCGGCTAATTTCTAGCGCCCCATAATCTACAGAAGAGGTACTATCGAAAATTCCTTTCTGAATCTACTGGGGGCAATAAGCGATGCTTCACTTTGCGAAGAGACGGCGCAGAAAGTTTTGAGAATACTGAAATCGAGATATCAAGGACATTCTGCAAACCGAAAGATTTACCTTGATGAGCTGAGCACAATGCATTTTTCGGATTCAGAAAATATCCACTCCAAAGAAAGTTACGGCGAGTAGAATCTGTGCAAAATCCATGCAGAATGGGCTCTCAAACTATACCTGCCCTATTTCTGCAGTGCCTAACAGAATGTGTATGTAGCCTCTGGAATCAGCACACTGAATGATCCATTTACACTAAAATATCAGGAAAAAAACTTATATCCCACAACTAGGCACATCTGCACACTGGAAGATGCGCCTCGCCGAGCTGAGTTGAATGGTACTCTTATGTATATTAGGTGGGTCACAAAGTTCGTTCGCCAGATTTTCAAAAAATCATAACTTCCTTCCTTCTTGGTGGAATTTCTTGAATTCATTCCTTTTTGAAAGAGGAAACCTTTCTTTTTACAACAGTGCCTTTGGCATGAAATAGCGTGAGAAAGTTCGAGAGTTACAAGCAGTTGAATGAAATCACTCAAGATCGGCACTTTTCAAGCAGGGTCACGAAAAATTCTGTAAGTATTTTTATTTGATAAAGTAAATTTTGCTCATTACAATGGTACCTTTTTCATGAATTAAAACGAAGTAGATCGAGAGTTAGAAATGAATAAAAAGAATTTCTTCACTTTTGCATTTTTTGAGCATGCTCAAAAAGGCTTGAAAACGTCACAGGAAAGGCGAAAAATTCATAAAAATGGGTTTTGTGACCTTTCCTTTCTAGCTGAGCAAAAAATCGTGCTAATCGGGAGCAATTTTCATTTTCGCAATTTATTCGAATTTTCGGGTCTGCGTTTTTCATAAAAGTGAAAATTGCTCCCAATTGGGACGATTTTCGCTTGGCTGAAAAAAAAGGTCACAAAACCCATGATTATGACTTTTTTGCCTTTTCTGTGACGTGCAAAAGTGAAGAAATTCTCTTTATTCATTTCTAACTCTCGATTTACTTCGTTTTAATTCATGAAAAAGGCACCACTGTAATGAGCAAAATTTACTTTATCAAATAAAAATACTTCCAGAATTTTTCGTGACCCTGCTTGAAAAGTGCCGATCTCGAGTGATTTCATTCAACTGCTTGTAACTCTCGAATTTTCTCACGCTATTTCATGCCAAAGGCACTGTTGTAAAAAGAAAGGTTTCCTCTTTCAAAAAGGAGCAAATTCAAGAACTTCCACCAAGAAGGAAGGAAGTTATGATTTTTTGAATATCTGGCGAACGAACTTTGTGACCCACCTAATAGAATTCATAAATTTTAAATCAAGATAAGGTCTTTTTTATAGAAAGGTTAGATGTTGCGCGACAAAGTTAGGCGGAAAAGCGGCAAGTGCCGCTTTTCCTTCTAACTTTGTCGCGCGACGCGGCGTTTGCCACCTAACTGCGGCGGGCGCGTGAAAGTGCCGCCGCCAATTTGTTTCACAAATTACGGGTGGTATTGTACATATATGATTGCTTTGAAGGTAATTTGATGGGAGTTGTGTCACATACCCCGACAACTTACCTCGAACGTTTTGCGAAGAAATTATACATATTTGAAAGCTTCTCGTAGTTTTCATGGCATCAATTTGAGTTTGATTCGTAAGCTTATAAAATTTGGTCCCGATCGTAAGAATGAAATTTTTTGTTCAGAACACACGAACAGGAACAGTCAAACAGACATTCAACTTTGTAACTTTATTGTAGGTGAAGCATTTAGACATTTTTCATCTTTTACTACATCTTATCTTGATAAGTAGAGTTGGTCGGAAAACTATTATTCATATTTGGGAAGTAGAGACCAACAAAGCTAGATCTCATGATTGAGAGCCGATCTTTGCGACCATCGCACATGCAGGATGCCAGAAGGCCTTGTACCAGTCAAAGAGATCGTGCACTTTTCGTAATCGTTTCTGGTTGTTGGAAGCTAACATTTAATGACAGAAAAGCATAAGAATGGAGGAAAATGACTGAGAAAGCTCAAACGTATTCCTATACCTTCCAGAAAAGTGTTGAAAGACCTCTTGCGTGAGGGAAACGCAACAGCCTTAAATACAGCACTTCAGGAAATGGTGGAGCAAAATCTGATTATTTTACATATAGCTTGTGTTTCTAATGGTCTAGTAAATTGAGCAAACTATGGCGCTGACGTTCGATTTTGCACAGAATACCAACGTGCTATTATTGTAAAAGACGTCAATTATAATAGCATCCAGACGATGTAATGTTTGAAATATGCAGGTGTTTTGAAAATGGCACAAAGCGCTAGTGCAATTAAAATTAACATAGCTCAAACAACATGACACTTCATTGGTGATGCACTTAATTCTACTAAAAGGACATAGTGATTGCCAAAATGATGCTTTCGATAAGGTTAAGGTACATTCAAACCTTGAGGGCCTTGCGGTAGCAATTGCTATCATCACTTCGTTGGTATGCACTCCCGGCATACATATATTGCATCCATCCACGGTTAAAAGTTGTTGTCAGCGCCGTATCAGTTCTCGATTTATAACCAAAATAAATATTGTTGTCAAGAGCTTGAAGTATGACGTTGCTGTCTGTTTATGAATACTTCATGAATACCCACATCCCGAAAAGACCAAGAGATTGGTAATACTAGGCTGTTGCATAAGTTCTGTCCGATTTGAATTTTTGAGTTTAAAATGTCATAACTTCTTTCAGAGTCAACTTTTTTCCAAGGTCTTAGTTTCTATGTGTTGAGCAGTCCCTTGGCTAAAAAATGCATATTGAGATCTGCGCAAATCTTTGTTAAGGAAAAACCAAGAATGCAAAAACTTCGCAGCGTTTTTCTTCGAATCTGTCTTTTTTGACATGGTAACGCTCCCTTATGAAAATTGATAGGCATCTTTTCTAATAATGGATGGATAGAGAAATTTTCGTAGATTATTATGCAACATAAAAGAGCCCATAGGGTTTGCGCTGCCGAGAGATTTTTTTTTTGACCGAACAAAAAATTAGCCACTTTTTGACCTCGCTTCAGCACATGTGTGCATGCCTATTTATGAACTACGAACGTTTTACAACTGACGTGAGCGCCGAAAAGGAATTGGTGGATGGGCCCTGTTAGCTCTTGCTTTGCCCTAGCACCTCCAACTTTGAGCTTGTCGATTACTTCTATTCGCAGAAAGTTATTGCTTGTAAAACATCTATACCAAAGATTTATGTTCGAGGATAAATTTCACTAGCAAGACGTATTCTTCATGGGACCGAACTTCTGCATATACTAGCATTCCATACCCTTATTCCGAAGCCAATGAAAGAACCTGACTTGAAGGGCGCATTGTGGAGATATCCTCGCAAGGACATATTTCTAGGGATAGAACGTACCTCGGCCACTTAGAGATTTTAGGCCTGTGATCTCCGTACACTAAGAATTTTATTGAAATCTGGTATGCTTTAGAAAGCGCAAGGAAAGCACTTTTCAATGATACCAACCGTATCGAATTAGAGATGAAATTCTCTTAGAACAGCTGCTTCAAACATGAGGCAAAAAAATCGGACAGAACTTATGCAACAGCCTAGTATTTGTACTTGGAAGATGATGCTATTTCAGTAATCGGACCCCTAAATTGCAAAGCCGTGGATGCGCAAACTCGGTCTATGGAGAGATTATTCGACCCGCTGATGCCAAATATCATGTCATTTTCTTGCGGTAGCGCCAATTCTTGGGGTTGCGATGGGTATGAGGCAGTGTTCAAAATCACAGGTTTCGCTACAACTTGATCCAGGGGTGGAGGCATTTCACATGCTCATCATTAATACACGCTCTTTTCTGTCTTTGAGGGTCTTCTAATAGGGCTAACTCTAAGTATATAGGAATTCGCAATCTTAGATTTGCCTGAAATTCGGTCTGGGGGGATATCTGACAAGGGATATCTGACATCTGTTTAATAGTAGCCTTTCCGAATGAGTCTTATACCGCTTTGAAAAGCATCGAACGGTGATTCCAAATATGTTTCACTATTTGCCGAACGCCTCTGCATGCCGAGTTATGATTACTTTCTCGGTACAAATAATGAAGGCATAGTCCAGTTGAATTTTGTTGTCTTTTCAGCACTCAAACGAAGCATGTTGAGTATGAGTGTTTTGGACAGAGGGTATCATTCAAATGGAGTGCTCTGGGGATTAACGTTGGACCATTTGAGCAAATCTGACAAACTTTGTTCTATTGGGTAAAATTTTTTGACTCAAAAAACGCTCACAACTCGAGGTCCAGAGGCGCTCGGCAGATAATGAAGACAGATTTGGAAACGTTCGATCTCTTTATAACCGTACCAGTTTCATGTAAAAAGGCCACTTCGACCAAATGAACCTCCCTTGGTGAGATGCTGATCATACTCTATATGCGTTCTAGGGCCTCTTCGCGGATACGGTAGATCCGTAGTAGCTTGTCAAAATCATGAATCTTCTTGAGATTTTATGAAAGAGGAGGCATTACTGGCGTTCTGCGCGCCAAATAACCTCCAGATAGATTAGAGCTCCGTGGTTTCAAGCCCATCGGTGTCTCTACCGTAATTCCATGAAAGCCTCGCTATGTGAGAAGATATGATACTCATGAACAACATGTCAGAAAATCTCCTTAGACCAAGTTTAAGCCTATTCCGTAATTTTAACCCCCTACCGTATACCACCATAACCACACCAGAGCAAAAAGAGCGTGATAGTCGTGATGAGCATGTCTAATTATTCCTACCTGAGTGTGAACAAAATTCACGACTTTGGTTTTGGACCCGGATACTGAAATAGCGCTTGGAAGATTTTGAAAAAGATTCTAAAGCCTGGGCATTGTACATATATAATCCTTAACCTTACTGTGCCGTATATCATTCAGTTTGAGACTGAGAAACTCGAAACCATTCACACATTCTAAACTATCTTGAAAGTGGCAAGCATCGCTAGCTTGAATAGCACTCAAGCGTAAACCTGAGCATAAACGCTGATTCCAAATCTGCTTCACTTATCTGCGGAACCACTTTTTGAAAAAAGCTACAAATGCTTGAAGGTCCATTTTTGAGAAACAAGCATTTGAAATCAGCGAAAAGTTGTGTAAAAGCCCTCTGCGGATTTCCAGTAGCTGTGCCCTTCCCTGTAGCAAACTCGGTACAAAATTTATTACCAACTTCCAGACTTTTTGTGCAGTACTTCGTTGATTTTCTGCCTCAACAAATTTGATGTTCGGTCGTCAAACCAGTGCTCTTCCTACCTTCTCGCTATCAGAAAGCCACGTGTATATGTTGTAAGTAGAGGTTCACAAATTTGGTGGGTGTTTAAACCAGGGCCCGGCACAAAGGTTGGCAAGTAACAAGCTGGAAATCGTTTTTGGTAAAAGAAATAGCAAAGGGAAAATCGTTTTTGCGGGGTCCGGGGCGAAGCCCTGGAAAATTGACATGTGCCCTCTGCTTATCTCAACATGTTATGTGCCTCAGCGACCACTGAAGTTCGCGCGCGTCAAACCGCGCCATCGCTAATTGCCGCAGGCGCGATGTCGCTCAAACGATGCTATTTGTAACAGCATACATGAGTAGTTCTCAGTGCATGCATAACTATATGGCCCGAAATGTCGTAAGCGAACGAAGAGAGGCTAGTGTAAACAAAGTATAAAGAACTATGAAAAACTTTGTGGATAAAAGGCGTAATAAGCGTTCTATCACTTGGTAAAGCGAGCCAACTGTGGATTTACTCAGTTTAAGCTTCTCACGAAATTCCCAAAAACCTTCTTTTTCAAACCTCGCTACAGCACTTCAAATAAGATGCTGTTTTTACTCTAACGTGCTCCTCAGGTTTAGACAAGTCGACGAGGAAGCGTCGCCTGGATAGACTATTTAATCGGCGCAAGCCGAATTGCCCTTTGCGGGCCACTTTGAGTGATATTTGGGGCAAGGTACTTTTCCGTTATCCGTAACCATTTTTTTGAAAAGCTCCTCTTATAATAATTTTTGGGCCGAAGAGTAATTTTTCATAAATCTTCGAGGACTGCCTCCTACGTGTCACGAAAAAATTGACATGTTTTCACTTTACTTTACTTTACTTTACTTAGTATACACTCAAAGATGTAACACAAAAGAAAAAGAAACAGCAAAATACAATGCCAGCTAGTCTTAAACGCAACGGAAGTTAAACGCGCACGTTAAAATGAACTAGAAGACTCAGTCCCATAAAATCTACCAAACAATCAGCAGATAGAATACTCAATCAAAGAACGATTAAGCAGCAGAATCTTGCTTCATCTAGATTGATAGACCCCTTTTTTTGGTTGTCAACGAGCCTGCGGGTGGAATCTAGCTGACTTGACCCCGGAAAAACTGATTGTAGATGAAGGCAAGATTCTGAACGAATTTCTAGATATAAGAACTCAACAGTACATGTTTAGACTATTTGAAAGCAATGATTGGGTCTAGGTTTAGACGAGGCATTAGATGTCAATTGAAGTCATTCCGCTGTAGATCAAGACAAGCTCGTTATGGTTTATTTTGACATGTATTAGGGTGATCGGTAAAAAATGGGGCAGCTTGATTTTTATAAAATTTTGAGATTTTTTTGTTTCGATCAACAACAAGCAGGCTGCAATGTAAACGTCGCTCATATAAGCTAACTTCGCTTATTATTCTGGCAAAGCGTCAACGCTCCTCTCCCACAACCCTACGCGTGGCGCCCTGAAGAACGCGAACAAGGTTTTTTGAACATCGCTCATTCTTGCGTTGTCATACCGTAAAGTTATAGAGCAATTGATATACCATTCGAAAGAGCTCTTCATGCTCTTTCAAATAGTTTATTAAACATACAGGAGTATTTTTTACTTCCGGGTAAATAAGCGAAATACCTGAAAAATCGCGATTTTTTGGCGCAAAACCAGTAAATCAAGTTTCAATCTGTATTTTCCGAAGATAGATAAAATGTGAGGTAAGCTGCATATGGATGGATACAGCGCAAAAAGCTCTTTCAGATGGTACCTATAAAACTTGCGTTAACCTGCAAAGAATTGAATAGCACGTATCTTTGTTCTCAAAGCTGCTAACGGCCATACCTCCTGAATTTGAAAGTTGAGGCCAGCAATCCATCGTGGGTCTGGTGACTGTACCTTCACGCCTAGCAGCAGTAGTAATTTGGATGGTTTCGTATGTTCCACTGCGCAGATACTGCCCGAAGTTTATAATTTGTCAAAGTGACTAACTTTGCATTTCAGCAACTATAAAAATTATTAGGTACGTAAATGACCTTGTATAGGTATTTTCTGAAAGAGAATAATTTATTCTAACACTTATCAAAATTGGGAAGTTTAATCACTTTTCTTTTTTGAGAAATCTACATTTATACTCTAGGTGCCCCATTTTCTACCCATCACCCTGATATTATTTTTATTTTATTTTTATTTTTCATTTTATTTTTTTATCATTTTTCTGTTTTAATCTGTTATGTTAGTGTCTGATCAG